AGTCTCTCCTTCACGATCAACAGGACCTGAGTGAGGGGTCATTCTCCGACTACTGTTTGGGCAGTTGAGTTTAGAGGGAACCCCTCACCAAAAAAAGCGGGAAAGAGGAAGCCTACCAGAGGTCCTTACGGTCGCAGAAAGTGGCAACCTTTCTTGGTTGCCGTGGACCCCTCAGCCAAAAACATGGGACTTCTTGCGGGTTCAGTGGTTAAAATCCGCTGTTTTGCACCAACAAGGATAAAATCTAAAGATACCCAATCGCAATAAAGCAGTGGCCATGGGCATCTGATCTTACCCAAAAGCCACTCCAGCTTCTGTTTCCGGGCGTGGCCTCGCAAGCAGCGATGGCGGCCGCTTGTGCCACCACGTCCAACTGCAGGTCTCGGGCTTTGAGGCCCAAAAGCAGCGCCAAGGCGCCGGGCCAGCGCGCTACAGCGAGGGCCGGGCTGTAGGAGATGAGGTTGGCCTCACAGCTGCCCTAAAAATCATCGCTTCCCTGCCCGCGTTCCATACACCAAGCAGAACAAGGACTCCCCGAAGTTTTGCCAGTAGCCGCACTTGGCCCATTCTGTCCATTTAGCTGACGATTAAGCAAGAAGATCTGGGACCCATATTGAGTCAACCCAAAAGGATACAATGATGCAGGAGACCCCGGATTGACCCATGTTGGTAAAAGACTTTACTCGACCCATTCTAGTTGATCCACTCTGTTTCATGTATTTAAACAAGAAGATCCATAGTATTTAGTCAACCGACGCCAATTGCCCCAGACAATCAGATTGGCCTGGCGGGGTTGCTGCACAGTTCCGGCCAGTGTAGAAATCGGCCATTCAAAGATGCCTCAAGTCCTTGACTCAGCTTCTTTACACCTTCTTTGGGGTTGAGGATGTGGTGGTAAAGCCTCTGACCCATCACGGAGTGGTGTTCCAGGCTTTTCTCTACACCTTGTCCCGCCACCCCTCTACAACCCAGGAGTAGTTCAGGCCCCTAATCTTCCCACAGCAGACCTCAAACATGTACCTGGACCCGGGTGCCCGGGTGCTGCTTCACGTGTTGAAAAAATGACCCTGGTTGCTTGGTCGAATTGCTTGGAACAGTGAGTGGGACATGTTTGGCGGTCCAAGGAGGGTTTCAGGCTGCAATGGATTCTTTTTGACGGCTGCCTTTTGCCTGGTGAAGAAATGTACAACAACGGCAACCACAAAGTAGGCAAACAGGCTGCACGTAGAATATGCCATGGGCAACCCAACGGTCCAACATTTGATGGTCATTGGGGCGAGCTGACCGTGCCTGCACGGTGTTGCGCTGCATGGCCGAAAGCATCTGAGACCCCCTTCGCCACACAGCTTTGCCTGAGATGGGCGCAAACTCGAAAAACACACATATCCCCAAAGGAATACGTATCATTCAGGGGCAGGGATCAGTCCACAAGGAGGTCGGGAATTCTGGGCCAAGACTACCTGAAGTCTCCATGACCCTCTAATTAGAGGTCATGATCCTTTTTTCTGGATAGATGACCTCAGGGGGACTCCAGGTACGAACAATCTGAGGCCGGCAGTTCCGGCAACGAGTTGCTCACCGAGGCAGCGCAGCTGTAGGAGACCACGTTGGGCCGTGCAGTCTGGAGCTTCAAGAAGCCGAGCCTTGGCTTCCTTTGTCTTGGTACTCGACTTGAAAGGGACCAACATGATCTTTCCAGACAGTTAAAGTTCAGGAATTCTTGGTTGAGGAGCTTTTTTTTAGCAGTTAAGTAGGGATTTCCCACTAAACCGCAATAAGCACAAATGTCAAATGTTTTCCAACAACAACCATTAATTCAGGAAGTGAGTCATTTACAGGGGCCATTTTCTACCAGCCCAGCTGCAAGAAGAAGGACCTCTGCCAAAGCTTGGCCCGACTGCAGCTGCCCAGGGCCGCGCTCTGGCTGATCATGTTCGGCCTCCGGGGGCCATGGAAGCCCCCCCCGCCCCCCGGGAGTTGTCTGGGTCCCTTGGAGTGATTATGTTGTGGGCAGTCTCAAACATACCTGGAGTCTCCATGACCCTTTAAACATGGGTCCATGACCCCCTGTTTGCGTAACGACCCCATTTTTTAAGGGTCATGGAGACTGCAGGTACCTTTTAGGGGGTAGGACACCCCTTTTCAGAGCTACACCCGTTAAGGTTGAGAATGTCCCTGCGACCCATGACAGAGGGTTCTCAATGGATCCCCAAAACCGGCGGTTTCCTGTTGGCTTCCATTCACTTCCGACGAGACAATGGCAACCCAGCGCAAAATGAATGTGTGTCTCCGAGCAGTCTCCGAGGCGGCAAGTCGCCGAACGGCCATCTCCAATGGGTGCTGCCTTGGATTTTTTATTTTTTTTCCGAAGATCCAGGGGTACCTTCCCCAGTCTTTCCAGGAATCCTTCTTTTCAGGAGACCATCCAAAACCAAGGGGAAACAGCCAGAATGATGGTTGAAAAGAATGGGGAATCAACCCCTAAATTTTTGGGAGTCGGCCTGAGGTTCTGAGCCCAAACCATGCCTGTTGCAGAATGGTTGGGCCGTTTCTGCGATAATCACCAAGGTGGGCCAAACATGGACCCCATGCAAGTTGACTTTGAGCTGGTTGCAAAGGGAAATGCGGGAATGCCAACAAAGCAAAAAGCGGAAAGGGTACACCAAGTATCCAACCAAGTATGGCAATGCAAAGTGTCCGATCCCCATCTCACTACGTCACTTCAAAGGAAGCAGTGGCGCTTCCTACAGCCCGATTTTCAACCAGCGGGTCGATCACTGGCAGGGGCAAATGAGGTGTTTGTTTCCCACGGAGGGCACGAAGCTGTGAGCCATACTGTGGATGGACGAAATCCATTTCGCACCACCCAAGAATCATGATAAACCATTCTTTGTTGGTATGTACAGGTGATCACATCATTCCAGGAGTGCCTAAGGTGGTGCGATTTCTGGATTTTGTCCATCCACAGGAGTGACCTGTGCCCGCCTCAGCGACTGCCTGGCCGTCCGCTGCCAGAGGCCCAAGGCGTGCCGCCACTGCGACGCCTTCTCGCACACCGAGGTGGCCGCGCCGAAGGAGACGATACTTGGCCTCGTGACATGTCCCAGTGTGCCTGGGAGAAGAGGCACCTCGTTGCTTTGCTTCTTCGTTTTTTTGTGGGTTGATTTTCCATTGCTTGTGTTTTGTTGTTGTTGTGCCTCTTATTTTGTTGTTGTTCTGCTTTCTTTTTTTTGTGGGTTGATTTTACCGTGAAGCATCCGGCAAACAAGACATATCCAGATGGGCGTGCTTCAAACAACAATCCGAAAAAGGGCGTCTCGTGTTGAAAAATCAGATGGCCCAGCCGCAAATAATTCACTAGTGAGTTGCCGACAAAGCAAAGCAATTGAAACAAAGACACTCAAATTGGCTGCAAAAAGGTGCCTGATCTTAGAAGGCGCTCTGCATGGCACTTCCAACCACCAGCCAGCAAACAAAAATGAAAGGGTCAGAAATTGTGCTACTGGCTTTGGCTTGAGCATCTGCAGCGAGGTCTGGATCTCTGCCAGCACTGCCACAGCTTGGAGCCAGTGGCCGGCTTCCTGAGGACTGCAAAAAGGATCTGGCAAACATACATCCCCTGGTTAGAAGAAATCAACACAAAAGGGTCCAGCTTCCAGCTTCCCTGAGGCCGAAAGCTGGTTTCGGGCCGAATCGCATTCTTTGAGAGAAAATTCAAGCAAGCTTGCAAGGTCGATTGAAGAAGCAGAACACATGTCCGCGCGCTTCTGGTTTCCTTTTGCAACGTCACACATTACACACACATATATATATATATATATATATTATATGCATTATATTGCCCTTCAGATCTATTCAGCGCCCAGCTACCCTGTAGGCGGTGATGTGCTGGTTGCGCTCGATGAGCCGTGAGTCGACAGCCATGCTTCCAGCGTGTCCGGTCGACCGAGTTGAACACCATGGCAAGTTGGAGGGCTTAAAGCCAGGTCGTTTTGTCTGACGCTATGGGGAGTGTCCAAAATGGGTGCTCTGTTTGGTGTCCGTTCAAAATGGGCACCTCAAGGCTTGAAAGAAATGGATAGTTTTGTGTCGTTAAATAGCAAGCAATGTCTACATCTTGTGAGCCAATCATACCGAACGCTACTGAAAGGCAGTTGGCTAGAGGGATGGGCAGAAGGGTCGAATGGTCGGCTCAACAGCCCTGGAGCTAAGCCACGCGCCACACTAAGCCACGCGTCGACGAACACGAGCTGGATGAACCCCCGTGACCAATAGAGGTGGCTTGTGGGCCCATCAAACACTTCCTGGCCTTATATATATATATATATTAAAAAAAAAAAAACAGCATTTAAAATCGCCCATTTGAAATCGCCTGCAAGGCCGACTTGGTCAGAACAACTTAGACAAACATGCACAAACAGGTGGCATCTGGCCGGCGGGGCGCCATTTTGATTTAGAGCGGAACCATGATCAACATACCTAGTGAAAGCATTTACTCCCTCAAATGTAATATGGGTCCACAATAAAAGGCAGGTGTTTTCTTGAACATGATTCAGTGCCCCCAAACAAGTCCCTCTCAATAAATACTTCTACCGGGTGATCAAACAAACAGCAAGCCCAAGTCCACACTAAACACTTTCTAAGTAACTTGTTTTTGCCATCTTCCCTAGCGACTCGCCTGCGTTTGTTGGAGAAGCCCTGGATCAGTTGACGCGGGTTGCGTCATCTGCATGGCTGACGGAGGTGAAGGCTTATCTTTTGAGCCGGTTGGTTGAAAGCAAAGGGCTACATGGCGACTTTTTTTTGGCGAACTGCCCTGTGGTTGGTTTTGAAGAGAAACCAAAAGGACACCGACCATTTTAGGGGGCGCCCAATTTTTGAGACACACCCAAAATAGAGTGGCCCTCTTTTCCTCTGTGAAAAATAACCTTTAGATTCCTCGTGCAAGGGGTTTTAGGATAAACTACGGGGCCAGCCAGCAAAAAGCGCATGCGCCGCACCTGGGTGAACTGCGAAAGCCGTAGAGCTTGGTCTTCCGGCTCGTCTTTCCCATCATCGACCTGCATCCGAGTTGCGTGACCCGAACGGTAGAAGAAGGATGACCTGGTTCGGTGTGAAACCCACCGAACAAAAAGTTACATGAGCAAAAAGGACACTTGTTTGGGGGTTGAGAAATGTCAGAGCCCACCAAACAAACAAACTGGATTTAGAAGGTGCCCAAAACGAGGCGTTGGTTGGCGGCCCTCAGAAAGTGCACTTGGCCAGACTCTGGAGTGCCAAGGAACAATGCGGCCAAACGCCCAGCGGTTCCTTGTGTGAGCCCTCACGATTTCTGGACAATTGACAGTCCCCTCACAAACGTGCAAGCCATTCGGACCGATGTCAATTTAGTAGTTGCAAGGGTCAATGCATGTCGATGGAACGTCTAGCAGGTTTCAAAAAGGTCAATGGGCTAGGTCGCACCCATAGCACGGCGCCCGTCGGAACGTCGCAGCCCTTGCACTAAACAATTGGACCAAGTAAGGCAAGCACAATTAACAACATACCCTCTTTCCAATCGTAGAAGTGGACAAAAGGGAACCCCCAACAGCGCCTATCAGCTTCCTGACAAAGAAATAGCCACTAAACCTACTAACCAAAACAAACATAAATTGACATAAACGCAAACAGGCACCAAAAAACAAATACAACAAACATCCAAGAAGCACGCCACAAGCAGTGAACAACATGTTGGTATCATGGGGGCATCCAAAGCCGCTCATTTCCTGGCCCCAAGCCGCGCCTGCCAGAAGGAGGGGGGCTTGTGCACCACGCATCTGTCTCCCAAATCCTCAGCCGGATTTGCTCCATTTTGCCTTAATAAGCCTACGAATGATGACAAAGAAACAACAACCAAGGATGCAGCAACACTGTAGATTTGTGCCGGTCGGCTTCAACGCACCAAACAACAACAACATGTTTCATTTAACGAAGCACCTATAGTTGTAGCCTGGTTGTAACACATACCCATGGGATGCGCACGTGTCCACACCCTCCTGCTAACAGCTCAGACAAAGGTTAAACACAAATCCTTCAAGTGACCACCATATACTACCACCCCATGCTTTTCAGTGGTTTACTGCTTTGTAATTCCAACGTTAAATTCAACCCCAAATGTGCCCTGAAATGTCCTTTCTATCGCTACAAGCCGTGTACGCGTCCATTTCCAAACCCGCTTCCACCTTTGGAATTTGGTGGGATTGCAACGCCAGCAGCACTGGATTTTCCTTGAACAGTTCGGTGGCAACCGCTCTCACGAACAACGAAGGCAGCACCGTTGTTAGGGTGAAAGGAGAGGCTTTTTGGAGGGTCTCATTGGTTCGTTGGTTCAAAAGGGAGCCAAAAGGCAAGCTACCAAAGTATGGAGGTACCAGATTGACACATCCGCAAGAAAACGCAACATGTCACCCATGTTCTACCCTGATTTGGTTGTCCCTGGAAGGGAGCACTCCCGACCCTGGAGGTCCTGGACATTCCATTCGAATGGAAGGATCTCACACAATCATGGTCTTAGAGCTTAATATTCAGGGGCTGAACTAAACAATTGGACATACGTTTTCCCCATCAACCTGTAAGAAGTTGCTTAGGCTCTCAAAAAAAAAGGTCCTTTCCGCCTTCGAGGCCAACTCATCTGAAAAGCCAAGAATAATTCCACAACCAACAACAACTGGCTCCCCTAGTGCGAGCAAAGGACCTGCATGGCCTTGGCTTGTTCTGACCCTGGACCCATGGAATTGGCGCCTTTTCGGCAGAGGCGCAAGGACCAGCTCAGGAGCACCGCTGAGGCCTGGCAAAAGTGGGGACCCATTTGGCTCAGTTAGCACTCCAGGGGAAAAAGTAGGTGGCACAACTCCGCTTATGTGGGGAAGTGGAGGGGACCAACATGGGAACTGTTCGACTTCCCTCTACTCTTGTGAGCTTCAATCATGGGAGCAAGCTTGTCCTTCCGGTGCCCAGGTTTGCTCTTTGGGGGCAATTTCTTCAAATCTGGCACACTCGGTTCAGCAATCATGGCATGATTGCTGGGAAAATGATAAAGGACACAAAGGTATATCCAATATTTTAAAGGGGCCCTTCTTTCGCGCGACCATAAGGAATGGGAAGTATAGGTTTGAACCCTTGCCACTGGTGCGGGGACTCAGCGCCTGGGCGGCGTGCTGGGCTGCCGGTCAGTGTGGCGAGCGCGCGGTCCGAGCTGAGAGCATCGCTGATGTCTTGGAGAAGCGTCCTTGCGAGACGTTACTTGAGGAAGAATTAGACTGGGGGGCGTGCAGTAGTTTCACAAAATACACCTAGTCGACAGGAGTTGACAGGAGTATATCAACATAAGTATGCTAGCAGTAATTGTTTAGACCCCATTTGTTGAGAGTCAGCTGCCCAGCGAGCCTTGCATAAGTGTCTTTCTTTAGTGGGGAACCCATTTGTCTTACTTCAAAAACCAAAACAACTCCATGTTGAACCAAGATTCGGAACACAAACACATCAACAGCAAGAAACACACATTCCAACAAATCACGCACAACATAATAATGCAAGCGGCAGAAGTGGTGCAAGCTAAACACGTTGCAATTGCTAAAAAAAAAACACAACTAAAAGAAACAAAGAAACGGGAAACAACAAAACATGCAACAAACCAACCCTTTGGCACATCTTCTACACCGAGTCCTGGCGGCAAAAAGCGCTCGCGTGCTCAGCGCGCTCGCGAAACGGCAGGCCCAAAGGATGTCCAGAACCCGGGCGGCAATATCCTCCAGCGGTCCAGCTTTCCACCAAGACACTGCGTGTGTGGCTTTTGAGGGGGACCCCCCCAAAAAAAGTAGTTGTCCCTTCGGTTTTCGTTTTAAATCATGAAGAAAGCGTGTACCCTCAAAAAGACACCCATGTTGCCTCAAAAAAGACACCCATGTTGCTATTACATACGGCCACAACTACCATGTCCTCTCAGGACTCCAGGTAGCTCCTTAGCTCCCTCTTTAAAGGCAACTTTGGATATCCCTAGAACGCCTCCTTTCCAACCACTAGCAAGCTAAGGAAACTTGCTTCTCAGTAGTGAATGTGAGAATGAAACCAAGGATTTAAAGGAACCCAGAAGGGATGGGTCATTTCCTCACTCCCTGCTGAGCTCCAGCAAGTATCTTAGTGACTGAGTGCGTTTGCCATGTGCAAAAGGCTTATCAACTTAGAGGCAGGCATAGGCCTCCGGCCCGGGCTGGGCGCGAGTGCTGGGAAGACCTTGACTTCGACGCCTTGCGGCAGGACCTGCGCGCGCCTGGAGGATGGCAGGGCTGGCCGGCAAAGCCATGGCACCCACCCGTCTCGCCAGCTCCGCCTGCAGCGCCGCAAAGGCGCAGGACAAAAGCCTGGAGCGAAAGCAGGGCTTTGGGAGGGGTTCTCAGCGTCTTGGATTGGTGGTTTGGGGGATGGCTTTTGAGCAAACTTCAGCTTCACTAGGGCTTCTAATCCCCAAACCCCATATACCCTCGCTCCCCAAGAAATTGCCTTCGGGTTAAGCTAAGGGGTTCTACGTTCTCCGTTGTTTTGGGGGCTTTAAGCCGGCTCTAGTATTCAACAGGAGCCTCAAAAAATGGGAGTTCGCTCAGAACTCTTTTTTGAGGTTGCCTTAAGGCACCCTGCCCCTCCTAAAACACGGCTGACGTGCTTCTTGCCCTTGCATTCTATGGTTGCCAAGGGCGGTCCAAATAGGGCCCTCCAATCCCAATAGGCTAATAGGGGCTACTAACCTGTATTAGAATATATTAGGGCTCCTTTTGGGGACCATTTCCGCGCTGTCCCCTTTTATTTCGCGATTTATGGTTTCAGACGCTCAATGGCGTTTGTCAAGCATAAAAACTCAGTAGCTCACGCTGCTCGGAAAGGATCCCAGTTGCGCGATTGAAAGGGCCCCAAGCGGAGGGGCCGCTCCAAAATAGAAGACTCTGCCACACCTTGCATGGTTTTTGGTTGTCAGGGGCCCTCAATACCACCACCCTCCTTAGGGCTAGGGTCTGGAAACCTTGCTGGGTCCATAGGGAGTCTTAAATGGTTGAATGTATCTCCTACATGGGTTTGTGTCAGGGACACCCCCCAAATCGCCACGGTTTCCCGTTGGGCTTCCCTTCAAGCCAAGAAGACAATCTACAAAGCGTGATTTTTCTATCGTCGGGCACACCGCTTCGGCAAAAAAACCGCGGCCAAATACAAAACCAACGCGTTGCCCAGTGAAGGTCAAGACGCTTGGGGTCCATGTCCTGGTCAAAGCTGCAGCTCGCCTGGGACTTGAAGAAACTGTGGCATCTTCACGTGGCTTAAAGGGATTGCCCAGCCCTGAAAGAACCTAAGTCAACAACAATGATATCCCAAAGGGGTATCCTAAGAACAACATTTTGACACTGCAAGTGGTTTGAAGGGAATTGTTCCACCCCAAAAAAAGATTTGGAGAACCCAAAGCGCCCAGGGGTCCACCTGCTAGCAGCTGACCCACGGGCAACAAAAAGCCTGATGGGAGATTCCCCTCCAGTCCATTTGCAGCAGGGGCAGTCTGCAAAACTCAGGTCCTGAGAAGACTGGCAAAAAATGGTCAAACTCGTTGGTTGCCACTACGTAGGTTTTCCCAAAGAGAATGGAGTCCAGACTTAGGGGAGCGAAACAGATTATCATTCTTGGCCAAATGGAAAGAACTGGGGGCGCCTAACAACCTTTGTCATGGGTGTAGGCGCCTTACACAAATTCAGCAATCGAAAAAAGGCAACCCTAAGACAGGCGCCTTCACTTTGGGCGACGTCGCAGATTCCCAAAACGTGATGTCGCCATAAATTGCCCAGCCATACCAGTGCGCAGAGATTGTTTCCAGACCTTCGCGGGGTTGAATCGGTCATTCCTCGTTGGGACCCGATTGTAAATCGTACATAACCCTGGATTGACAAACCCCTTTATGAGAGGGCATCTGGATCACTGAAGTTGCAATCCCCGAAGAATATCTAAGAATCTAGCAGGTTGCTAAAGCCGGGTGATCGTTGAGAGCGGCAAAAAAAACACACCGAGCTTGATGAGTGGGGGTTCCCCGTTTCAAACTGTTGACAGCGGACCGCAATGTGTTGCCTCCGCCGGCCATGTTTATTCACGCAGCGGAAATGTGAGAGATACGAGCGGAATGCTTAGCACCGTTCCTTCAACTGGCAGCTCCCAGGACTTTCGTCTTTACTGGGACTGGCACGTGCCAACTTGCCAGCCAGCAGCTTTTGTCTGGCTCGGATCCCTAAAAGGAGGCGCCTGATTGCGCAATCATAGGGTCCGAGAATATCCTGGGATCGATCCAACCCCCAGTTTGCCCAAAGCATGGCCTTGTCAGGGCCAGAGAGGGAGGTAGATGTTGTATTAGCTAATCGCTACAAAAAAGAAACAAATACTGGGTGGTGACTTTGATGGCAAACGCACACAAACACATGATGCCAGGACAAGCCCCTTCTGCCCTTTTGACTGGCTTGAGCATCTAAATGGGAGGCCGAGCGCCGACTTCTTGAGACACAAGAGACGAAATCTCTCAAGAGAGGTGCTTCAATTAAACAGCCATGCAAATGGAGTCATCAGTTGCCATGGGTACGGAGTCACTGATGAATGCAAGGTGCCAGGTGCCTCCTACCGCAGGCAAATCCTCTTTAATTCATCCCGCTGCATTTTGGCGCAGAGATCCTTCGGGACGCTCGTGCCGAAGGCGAAGCGATAGTAGCCCATGGCTCCGAGCATGCAGGAGGACTGCAGGTTTGCTTTCGCGGCCTCGGGGCCAAGCAATACGAACGCTAGCCAGCCAGCCAACCCACCGACCAACCAAAACCAACCACGAAAACAAGCAAGCGGGCAAGCAGGCAGGCAGGCAGGCAGGCAGGCAGGCAGGCAGGCAGGCAAGCAAGCAAACAAACAAGTAACTACAAACAAAGAACGCAAAGAAAGGCAAACAAAGCATGCACATGCACTCCGCAAGGCAATTCATGGACGGGAGGGTGAGCGCATGATTCAATAGGTCAACGTCAACAGCGCATACTCACCACGTCAAGGCGGTGTGTTGCAGGCAACCGTCCAGCGAGTAAAGCCCTCGACAACGTCCGCCCACACTTTCCGTTCGATGGTTCACGTGCTGACTGCTCGCCCAGTTGCTTTGCACACCTTCTGCACCAGCCGCAAATCATCCAGATTCCTCACTTGTCCCCAAGGGCTGGACACAACAAGTTAGCCACTCGCCAAGACAAGAGCTAGAGCGACACTAGAACATCAGGTCAAAAAGCTGGCTGTGGGCAGCTAAGATTCTCTTTAAATGTCTGCATTCCCACCCCATGGACGCACCCAGTCAGGCAGGAGTGCTGGTCCTCGCATCCTGAAAGCGTTCTTGACCGAGAAAAAGGGCACTTGTTGTCGTCATGAAATTGAGACTTCACCACTGAGCTCTGCTCTCCTGAGCACTGATACAAGGACCTAAATTAAGCAGAATGGGGCTGTGGAGACTCTAAAGCCACGAAGGCGTTCATAAGACAAAGACTCTCAGCCCCTTCTCCCAAAGCCGCCCAACCCGCCCATTCTATTGAGCCCCCTTACGTTGCAGGTCTTTGCTGAGCTCGGTCGCTGGATCCTCGAAGTCGGCTAAACGCGACTTGTTGACTGGCCCGCGTCTCTGACTTAAGGGATCCTGCTAAAACAGCAAGCCCAACTAAACAGGCCCTTTGACCGTGCCATAAATGAATGTGGTTCCTGAGGGTAACCTGTTTGTGATTGGTTTCCAGGGAAACCCAAAGGAACACCACTCCATCCACCAGATCCCTCTCTGGACGCATCCCTATGCTAACAAATGGTACCCTAAGTGCCCTTGCTTTACTGTGGACTGACCTGCAGGTGCAGGAAGCTTGCCTAGGATGGATTTGGACGGGTCAAAGTACCTCCTCAAGTGCTGTGGGGCGTGAGGAGGCCTTTTTGAGTCAGATTCCGCCTTCGTAGCACCAAGTCAGCGCCTCCACGTAAGCGCGGGGCCGGTGAAGCAGAAAGGAGGTGGGAGCGTAGAGGTGGCAGTCACCCTCCCCGAAGTGGTTGCCGGCATCCACGTCGCTGCACACCGACATGGCCCCTGGCAGGCTGCAGCTGCGTGTTGGATGGTTTCAACCCATGGCCGGCAGTGAAGTAGGTGTTGAACCTGGCAACGTGAAACTTTTGGGGTGACTTGGACTTTTCCCCGTATACCTGTACTGTAATTCTAGGTGTGACCTAATTTCTACTTGGATCGAACATCCAAGTTGGTTTGCAAGTGGTGATCCCTGTCAGGAAAACTGATCTGCTGCCATACGAGCAGGAGCTGCCCATGACAGTGTCTGGTATTCAAAGCTACAGAATGACATTAAAGTAGGAAAAGGTGCTGATATGTGCTGAACACAGCATGCAAAGCCCCTGTAGACAAAACAATGTATATACAATACTGTACGAGGGTATAAGCGCAACAGAATACCATACAAAAGGGAACGCCAACCAAACCTCACTGCAAAAATAATCCCAAATCCTCAATCTGGTTCTTGCAAGAAAGAAGGACATGCGGCCTCTACAAAATTCACGCATTTCGAGAAACCATGTTATTGAGAGCGAAGCCACAAGTCGTACAAAGTGGGTTTGCTGCTACGAACTGAGGCGGCCCATTTTAGTTATTCAAAGGCCCCCGCGTAGCAAGCATCAGTTCCCTTGCCAAAGTCATGCAAAGACCTCAACATCAACTACCAATGGAATTCCGAGCCGGTGGGAATGTTTGACAGAAACAAGTCGCTCCCTTTGTGGCTCTCTTTGCAGGTGCGAAAACCACGAGCTTCACGTGCTTGACAGGAACTCCAAAGACCACCAAATCCCAAAGGATCTTGTGCCAAAGGCTTCAGGCTTGAACTCTCCCGGAGTAACATGCGGAAACCAAGGGCCAACTCGTTTAAGCCTAGAGGGCTGAGCAAAAAACGAAAACCCTCTCGGGGAAAAGGAAACACTGTGGGCCGGTGCCTTTGAGTCCGGGGGTTTAATCGAGAGTCTGGAAAAATGTCAGGGGACGTAAGTATCTGCTTTTCCCTTTGAACCAACCTGGAGGTGTACAAGCCTCAACCAATAACAGACATTCGTAAAAAACAAAAGTCTCACAGCCTGGTGCTTGTGCAGAAAGGCAAAAGCTGCCGGTCTTTCCGATCGCCGAAGCAACCAAGCCAAGCCTTAGTTGTTTAAAGGGCTCTGGGAATCTATGCAGAAGAAGCGGGAAGAACAGGGACCCCATTTCGGCATTCCCTTCCAACATAAAGAAACAAATGGGCTTTTTGGCACGTCGCTGCGTCGCTTCGCCATCCAGCCTTTGGCGTCCTCCCCGTCGTTCCCGGACACAGTGGTGGAGGCGAAATGGTCCATCCAAATGCCTTGCAACAAAGGGGATGGTTTATAGGGGTTGTTCCCTCAGCAGTCTGCTGAGAACCAGCAAGAAAACCATGCTACTGGCGTACTCAAAAAATCATGACGCAAAGCAGTGATCGGCTTTAAAGCACTTCGCCCACAATCCCACAGCCCCGTTCTAATGAGTAGATGGAACCCAAAAGTGCCGATCCATTTGTAGAGGAAATTCCTTTGACACCTTTTTGTTTGGTTCCATGTGAATTTGCTGGAGAGCAGCGAACGTCCCAAGAAAAAACGACTTTCAAGAAAGTGGTTGGACAAGCTAGTTTCTTTCCTTGGCTGACGTTTATTGTGTTGGTTAGCACGTGGGGTTTCAAAAGGAAGCTGCCAATCAGAAAAGGAAGAGATAAACTGGACCCAAGTGCCGTTCCAAATGGTGCTCTTGTGGGTCGGCAGCACCCCCGCAGCGTTCAGGGACTCTTTCAAGGCCCGACGCGTGTGCTGCGAGCCTCAGGTGAGTCAGAGCCGGATTTCTCAAAGTGGGGGTTCCCCAAACGGGGTCATCAAACATAATTCCACCATGGGACAAGTTGTTTGTGTGAGATACTGCCATGCACAAGAGGAAACAAATATCAAGTAAACTCAAAGGCCTCAAAAACTACGACACCTCGAGACCACTGCGAAGCCCTGCAAAACCATGAGCCTGTCGAAAAGAAGGTGGAGGGCAAAAGCCGACACCTGCAAGAGTTGGACACCCGCTGCGTGACTGTCTAAAGCTTGCTGCTGCTTCGACACAGTCAGAGTTTTCTCGTAAAAGGGGCACAAACCTTCCACGAACAAGGAGTTTGCCAGCTTCCTTCAAGAGGGATCTACGTGACAG